TCAACGTACTTACAAGTTTAATAAATACCTTCTTTTCATGTGTTTTCCTCCATTCTTTGTATTCTTCACTATCCATCTTTGACTGTGCGATGTAAGGTTCCTTATCAACATCACTCATCGAATTCCATTTCTCCACATCATTTCTCACCTAATATTAAGCATAAACGTTTCTAAATCAATACATTAACGCTAAATAATACTCAATGTCAATTTTAATTTACATACCGAACCGATGTGTTCGCCACCTTTCTTCATCCTTTGGCATTCGGTCATACTGTCAACATTTAAAATTTGTAATCAATTTAAAGTTCTTAAATACTTTAATCCAATTATCATTTCAACAATAATAAAAAAAAGACATTGATACTTACTAGAAGTATATATATCCACCCTTTGGTTGCTTTCGAGTCTCAGCCTCAATTTCAAAGTCATCTGCACCACCAACAATTTTTCCACCTATTGAATCCATTTTTCCTTCATATATCAGTTTACTCAAATCAAATCAAATACTTGTTACATACACTTTATTTAATAAACAAATATAGATAACTACTCTTATGGTAAAACGGTTTTCTTCAAAAGAATTTGAATGGTCACTACAAAATGTGTCGGCATATTTATACAACCTAAAATATAATTTTTCTACGTATAATATTATATACAGGTATCATATTTATTTTCTACCTATAATATTATATAATCGGTCCCAAATCCTTCTAGGCTTCAATTCAAAATCCCCAAACTAAACCCAAAAACCCTAATCCCTATTTCCTTCAAACGAATGGAAACACTCAATACTCCAAGTATCGACACATTTATACAACCTATAATATCATTTTCTACATATAATATTTAATAAAAGTATTGATATTTATATTTTACCTAGAATATCACTTTCTACCTGTAATCGGTCCCAAATGCTTTTTTACTTTAAAACCCCAAACAACATATAAAAACCCTATTTTCGATTACTGTAATAATAAAAAATTAAGGTTTCGACAACGTACTTTTCGATTCGACTGCAGCAACAAACAAACAAACTTCGCTTTAGAAACACTTTCTGAAATGAAGCAACAATTACGCTTCGATTTCAAAAACTCGTCCGTTCTATCTATTTTTCAGAGGATATTTAACTATGCCCTTTATATTTTCACCGGATATGTTATTTATATTTAATTGATACAACTATAAAAGTGTCGATACTTTTATGTTAGGTGTCGATACTTTCGATAGTATAATTACCTATTTCTTTGAAAGTATCGATAATTTATTATGTGTACTTATTAAAGTATCGACACTTTCAATATATCTTGTAGTGCTTTACCGGTTTTGTCATTTCGAGACCGATTTTGTCATATTTTTACCTGTTATATCATTGTGGACTGATACATTGTTATAAAGTATCGACACTTTATAGGCGCTAAAACTGCTTCTCTTTTAAATTCACAAAGTGTCGATACTTATATTAAAGTATCGACACTTTAAATATATCCGATCGCTCTATACCGATTTTGTCCTTTAGAGACCGGTGTTGTCATATTTTTACCTGTTATATCGTTTTGGATCGATACATTGTTATAAAGTATCGACACTTTATGGGCGCTAAAACTGTTTCTCTTTTAAATTCACAAAGTGTCGATACTTATATTAAAGTATCGACATTTTCAATATATTCGGTCGCTCTATACTGATTTTGTCCTTTAGAGACCGGTTTTGTCATATTTTTACATATTATATCGTTGTAGATCGATACATTGTTATGAAGTATCGACACTTTATAGGCGCTAAAACGGCTTATCTTTTAAATTCACAAAGCGTCGATACTTATATTAAAGTATCGACACTTTCAATATATACGGTTGCTCTATACCAGTTTTGTCCTTTAGAGACTGGTTTTGTCATATTTTTACTTGTTATATCGTTGTGGATCGATACATTTTTATAAAGTATCGACACTTTATAGGCTCTAAAACTGCTTCTCTTTTAAATTCACAAAGTGTCGATACTTATATTAAAGTATCGACACTTTCAATATATTTGGTACCGCTTTACCGATTTTGTCTTTTCGAGACCGGTTTTGTCATATTTTTACATGTTATATTGATGTGGATCGATACAGTTTTATAAAGTATCGACATAAACCGACAAGCTAAGTTTGTCGGTTGCCAAATTTTTTAATATTTCTTCATGATTTAGACCTACTACATTATTATTACTCAACATTTTCTGTAGCGCTAAACCAAATTTGTTAAATATCTTTTAATGTATCCGGTAACGCCGCATATTAGCCTGTCTTTCATGAGACAACCCCATCTTATTCCTATTAAAAATCTTCTTTTTTTTTTTTAATTCCACACGTGACTAACCCAAAACCCAAGCAAACCTTTTCTTTATTATTTTTAACCACAACCTTCCATCTTCACTTTTCTTCTCACTAAATCACACCCTCGCCAGACCTCAACCTCATCGCTACTTTTTTTTTGTCTCCATCACCACTTCTAGTCAATTGTAAGACACCATGGTTCCAACATGAAGTCCATTGTGACTGACACTAGACACGAGGAGTGTTTTTATTCCTTCTCTTATGCTTTAACTTTCTTATAGGGGAAATACGCTTTAAGTGAGGGAGTAGAGTGATAATTTCATCTTGCTTATTCATGTTGGTTTAATGGAATATTTCGATGCTTATGATTGTTGCTTGCCTTGTTTGACTTGTTAGTTTTGTCATAATCCCCTGTTTACAAGCTTGAGTTGACCTTGTTATGCATGAATAATTGATTTGAGTCGACAAGTGAATAATTATTAGTGTTGCTTAAATATGAGCTTATGCTTATTGAGCTAGTGGTTAATGTTATCTTTAGGTGTAGAACCTTGTACGACAATTGTGAGTGGTAGATTGTTTGAATGTGACCGGATTGGAGAACAGGAGTGAGGTGCTTGGGTTGTCATCTCATTTCCAGTTTAAAGTTTTGGTGATGAGTCGATACTATAGAGCTTAAAAAAATAGGGAGAAACGTAGAAAAAAGGGAGGAATTTAAAAAATGAAAAATAAGAGGAAATAAGCGTTTGAATACAAAAAAAAGAGCGAGTGATACAAAAGGGGAGGCAAATAAAACTCACACTCCACCAATCGCTTCTCATGAGGAAACTAAACTTGGCTCAGTACTTGTCATCTCACAATAAAATAGAAAAAGCTTTGCATATCTAACCCTTGTTCATTTGGTTAATTGTTGTTCATTAGATTAGTTTGTCACTTTTGTTTAATTATATTGTCTAACTTTTTTAACCCATGCTTGAACTTGAGATTTGGATAAAACTTTTTTGTATGAATCTTTGGTAAATGATGAAAATAAGGATTGAAGTATGCTCGAGGACAAGGATTGAATAGGTGAGGGGAATTGATGAGTGTTTTATATTGTTAATTTTTTGTCGTTAATTACTTCTTGTTATCTCTTTGACATTGCTAAGTTTGGTAGTTTATATTGAATTTCTGTGCATGACGCTATTTTCCAGAAAACATCATTTAAAGGGTGAGTTCTGCATATTTTTTTTTTATTTTTTGGAATCAAGGTTGAACACATGGGCATGACTTAGAGCATGACGATGTTGACGTGGTATAATTTGCAGTCTAGTTAGCTATAACTTCTAGAAGATGACTTGGTCAACATAATCAAGAAGAAAGCCAGGCATATAAAAACTCTTTAGGATTCAAAGAATTGTAATTGAATTTAAATATTTGGGATTTATTGTTATTTTAATTAGGATTCTAGCTTGTTATAAACTAGGCTTCTAATATGCTATTATTTAAGATTCTAGATTGCTATTAATTAGGGTTTAAAGTATATGAATATTTTTAGGATTATCTTTTAGTATTTTATTTTCTTTAGGTTTCCTCAAACTATGAATACCCCTTAGGGTGAAGCATGTAAAGACGTATTGAATTTGACTTGGCTTTAGAGTTTTCAGTTCTATAAAGTTCTTTTTCTTCTTCATCTTTGTTCTATTTTTTTTGAAGTTTTCTTTCTTTTTAATGCCAAGTATGATTTCTATTATGCTTAGCTGATTTTCCTATTAACCAAAAGCTAAGCAACAACTCAATCCGTTTCGTGAGAATTGAAAAACGCTTCATACCTTTAGGTATCTTTCTTGATTTTCTACAAACTAGGATTGGCAATCAGCCCTCCCTTTAAATATCTCAACACTTTCAATTCAAAGAGTGCACCTTACCTTAAATATTGTTTTGATTTATCGTTAGGGAGAAGAGTCAGCTTGTAGAAAATTCAACTTTCTAAGAATAAACCTAGCGGTGGTCCGCTAAAGGAAATCAAGATTAGGTTCAACTCTCATTGAGACACCATAATCTGAGCACGGGCTTTTTTGACACTTAAGGTAGCATTGGTGTTAACATCGATAGTTGTTTTTAATCCGAACAAGGATTAAATTCCAATAATTGACTTTGGAAATTAGTTCACAGGAGATAAGAGTAAGTTATAAGGGTTGGGCCTTATAGACTCTAACCGGCAAGAATCCCAAAGTAAAATCTATTCCAATGATCGAAACAAATTAAGGCGAAGAGAAGATGGAGGCTATCTCTCATCATAATTTTTTTTTTCAATAATATATTTTTCTTTTTTTTTTATTTAAATTTATTCAATTTATTTTTTTTAATACCCCTTTATTTTCCTTTTGCAGTTTTCTTGGATGAAGATCAATTCAAACTGACATTGGAAATTTCTAAGTCCTGTGGATTGACCATTTCTTCTCTATAGTACATTCTTAGCTTATTTGATTGAGAAAAAGGCTTTATTTATTTGAAAATTATGACACTTGTTAGGTTTCTTAATCCTTGTAAGAAATTTGAGACATGGATTGTAGAACCAGAACCAATCCACCATGTGTTATAATTAACATTAACCATATTTGACTCAAAGAAAAAAGTGAGACTGATTTACCTTTCTTCTCAATCCAACTCTTAAACTTGACACAATCCTTTTTTAGGTTGGACTCTTTCTTAATGTCAGTTTGAGGATGGATTTTAACCTTCCCCTTTTGTTTGGCTTGGACTGATCACTTTCCTTGAGTAACTATCAATGCACTCTCTCCCATCCTCAGTGAGTCTAGCATCCTCCTGATCACACATGGTTAAAGGTTCATTGATGGACTATTTATCCTATGTGTGTTATAGGAGATATTAAATGGCCCATACTAAGGTGGAAGAATGTTCAATATAAAGTGTTGAGTTAATCGATTGACTGAATCGGCCAAGAGGGGGTGAATTGGCAATAAAAATTTTGGTGGAAACTTTTGCAGAAAATTTAAAGAAATTGCACAGCGATTTAGAGTGGTTCGACTTTATCAACCAAAGTCTACGTCCACTACCTTAGCTATCCACACTAAGGATTTTCCAACAAATTCACTAATTTGTTCTTTCTTTTGAGGCCAAAGAGATAACCTTACAACTCCCTCAAGAATATACCCCAATACTTGAGAACACTCTTTTCTCAAAGAGAAATACAAATTTGCAAACTTACAAGAAAAACCTCACAAGGCAAATATGTTTGCACAATTCTAGAACAAAGAAAGAACACTCAAGAATAAATACAATTGAGCACAATAAGTGTTCTTGAAAGCAAAATGAATATTGAATGAAAAATAGGCTTGAAATTCTCAAACTTGAGGTTTGATGCTTTCTCTTTGATTCTCTCTTGATTCTAATTGCTTGATGTTTCTTGTTATTGATCAATGGCTTCTAAGCTTGCTTAAATACACCATGAATCACTTCTGAACGTTGGGGATGATTAGAGAAAATAATATAGCCGTTTTAGTGTGAAAACAATTAATAAAACAGTTTGGAGCGTCGGGGGAATCGGTACCCCCTATGGGGAATCGGTTCTCTAAGTGTAAAATTCAAATATTTCGACCGTTATACAAGGGGGGAATCGGTACCCCATGGGGGGGAATCGGCTCCCTCTGAGCATTCTGGATTTCTCGGAGCTAAACCATTCAGGGGGGAATCGGTACCCTCTTGGGGGGAATCGGTTCCCTCTGAGCAATCTGGAATTTTTGGCTTTGAAATGGTTCGAAATACTTTGTAAAATTATTTTTAAATTGTTTTAAGATTAAAACTTAATTTTACACTTGAGTAAGGATTAAAAATGATCTTTGAAAGATTTGGAGTAATGTTTTGATATTCGAATAATTCTATCGAATATACTTAGAAAATCATTTGGAAAATCTTAATATTCATTTAACTTAATTTGTTATATCGAAATATCAAAATGTTTTCAACAATCTCCCCCTTTTTGATATAACAAAACATTTTAGTAATTTTAAGATTTTGAGATTTTGAAGTCAAGTTTTGAAATTACTCCCCCTTACTTTAACACTTCTCCCATTTAACACATTTAACACTTCTCCCCATTTTTGTTAAATCAAAAAGACATTTTAAAGAATTAAACAAGGTTTTGAAATCATTTAGCCATTTGATTATATTTTAAGCTGCTAAGATCACAAGCAAGAGAAACGTTAGCCATTAGTTTCATAATCAATATTCATAGTTAATGTGAAATGGCAAAACTGGTCATATATCTAATCATGAAGTAAATGATGCAATAATGAATAAATTTAATCACACCAAATAGATAATTTCTAACCATTCATAAATCCAAACAAATTGAAAGTCAATCAATCCACAAATTCAAACATTCCAAAATATTCAAAAAGTTAAAACAATAAGTTTAGAGTTCAAAGCAAAACATAGAATCACATATCAGGATCAGGAGGAGGAAAACGAGCTCGTATAGCGGCCATTTCGTGAGTGAGGTCATTAATACGCGCGTTGGTTACTTCATTGTTTGCACGCATCTCCCGAAGAATTTCTAATTGTTGAGCTCCCATTGTGGATAAGTGGGACTCTATAAAAGAGAAGCGTGAATCCATGGTAGCGTATCGGAAATCGAATGTCTCCATAAAGGATTGAAAATATGGAGGCATTTGATGCGTTTGTTGTGCTTGCTCTTCGGGCTGCTCCTCGGGCTGCTCAGGCTCATCTTCGGCTTCATCGATGTCTCGCATTAATTGCTCAAGCTCGAGATCTTAGTCAGCTTCGGGTGGAGCTTGTGAAGAACTAGCTCCCAGAGTATTTGCAGAAGATCGAACCCATTCACCGGTTTCCTTATCCTTAATCCATCCCGCTCTCGTTAAGGAGAGTAGGTTAATTTGTTTCTTAAGGGGAAAAACGGCATCTAGACCGACTCTAAGCCCAGCTGTGGAAAACAGATTACTCAAAATGCAACCGTAAACTAAGGATGAACATAGTTTCTTGTTAGGAACAATATTTACGATTTCAACAATTTCAGCAAAAATAATCTGAGGTAGGTTAATTTTAATATTGTTTTCGAAACAATGTAACCACCAAAGATCTAAGGCTCTAAGAGTAGAATAACGACCTCCGGATGGTCGAAACACCAAGAATCATTAGATGAAGAAAACGTTCATGAAGGTCTGAGACACTTGCACTATCCCTTCTTTTATAACGAGATCCTAAAACTTGTTTTTCATTTGAAATACCATCATTATCTAATCTGAATGTATTGGCTATGTAAGCTGAGTCAATATATAAGAATTATCCTAGGAGGTAGGAACGAATTCTTATGGTTTCGGTTTCAGTTTGGTTTTTAACACAAACGACATTAGAATAGAAAATACGAACAAGTTGATGATAAGCGATGGGTTCAAGGTCAAAGAGTTTATCAAATTTCCACTCTTGTAAAAGAGGAAGATATTTAAAATTGATAGCTAACATAGCTTGACGAAGGAATACGTTCTTCCCGGATTTTGTAAGAGTCGAAATATTGATAATACCAAAAACGATGATTTCTAGGACCAGGATGATTGAAACATGAATTTTGGATAGTCAAGTTAGGATCAATGGGATTAGTATTAGAAATTGGAATAGGAGGAGGATTTGGAGGTGGATTTGGTTAACGGTGTGAGCGACTAGATGATGACCTAGCACGTTTAGGATTGGACATGGTTTAAGAAATTGGAATAGAATTGATAACCTGTAATTTAGAAAACACATGTATGCAATTCAATCAATCCCAAAACTCAATTGAGTCCTCAATATTTCAAGGTTCTCTAAATCAATCCTAATGGGCAAAGTTTTTGAAAAACTTTTAAAAAATGGTTTGAGAAACAATATATGTATAGTTTTCATAACAACAACATAATTTAATCAAAACACAATAATTTGAAAATTAACATTTTTTTAAATTTCAAAAATTTAAAAAAAAAAATTGGAAAATTCTTGTGTTTTTTTATGAAATTGGTTGTAATATCTAGTTTCTAATCACTAAACAATCAATGCCCGATCTAAAGTTCATCCTAGAACTAATTAAAACAAGTCATATGTTCAAAATCAATAAAATAGGGAGTTTAGAAAATTTTACCTTGAAGGATGAGATTGAGTGGATTTTGATGTTGTTTGCACGATTTTAATGATGATTGCAAGTTTAGGAGATGATATTTGAAGTGAATTCCGATTAAAATCGATGATTTGAGGCAAGAATGGAGATAGGGAGAGAGTTGAGAGGGAACGGCGGAAGTGAAAGGAGAGGATTTTTGAGGATTTTGAAGGGTTTTTGCCGTGTATAACCCCCAGGGGGGTATCGATTCCCTGTTGTGGGAATCGATTCCCCTTCAAAGGGGGAATCGGTTCCCTCATGGGGGGATCGATTCCCTCTGCACCAAAATGCTAAAATCCGATTTTAAACACTCAAAATGCTAAATTAATTTCCTCTAGTGGTATTGGCAACTCATATATTGAAAATTAATCATGTTCAAACAATTAAATTAATCTTTAAACGATATTTGAACATAAAATTAATTTTTTATCAAGAATCATAAACTCCCCCTAACTAATATCAATGAATGCAATCAAAAATTACTATTATTATTTTAAACACTAAGTGAAGATAGGTTGGTCAAACCTAATTCTCTCCTAAGTGTCCAAAATCTTTCATTGTCTAAAGGTTTTGTAAAGATATCCGCTAATTGGTGCAAAGTATCAACAAATTCTAGAACTACATCTTCCTTAGTGACATGGTCTCTAATAAAGTGATGTCTTATTTCAATGTGCTTAGTTCTAGAGTGTTGGATGGGATTTTTAGTGAGACAAATAGCACTAGTATTGTCACACTTGATAGGATTCAATTCCATAATCAAAAAGTTGTTGTTTTATCCATAAAACTTGTGCACAGCAACTACCAGCTGAAATGTATTCGGCTTCAGTGGTAGATAATCCAACACAATTTTGTTTCTTTGAAAACCAAGAAACTAGGAGTGTCCTTAAGGTATCTAAAGATTCTCTTAACAGCTAGTAAATGTGATTCCTTAGGACATGATTGAAATCTAGCACATAAGCAAACACTAAACATAATGTCCGGTCTACTTGAAGTTAGATAAAGCAAAGAGCCAATCATTGACCTATATAATTTGACATCTACACATTTACCTCCTTCATCTAAGTCAAGCTTTGTTGAAGAGCTCATTGGAGTGTCATGAGGTTTCCCATTTTCCAGTCCAAACTTCTTGAGCATATCGTTGACGTACTTAGCTTGATTGATGAAGATGCCATCTTTTCTTTGCTTGATTTGGAGTCCCAAGGAAAATGAGAGCTCCCCCATCATGCTCATTTCGAATTCACTTTGCATTAGCTTAGAAAATTCTTGGCAAAGAACATCATTAGTAGAACCAAATATTATATCATCAGCATAAATTTGAACTGCTAATAATCTTTACCTTTATGCTTAGAAACAATGTAGTGTCAACCTTCCCTTTTAAAAAACCTTTTTCAATTAAAAAATTTGACAATCTTTCATACCAAGCTCTACGAGCTTGTTTTAAGCCATAAAGAGCTTTTGTCAATTTAAGAACATGGTATGGAAATTTTGAATCTTCAAAACCTGGAGGTTGTTCCACATACACTTCTTCCTTTATAAAACCATTTAAAATGCACTTTTAACATCTATTTGATATAATTTAAATTCATGAAAACATGAAAATGCTAGTAACATTCTAATTGCTTCCATCCTAGCTACGGGAGCGTGTTTCATCATAGTCTATGCCCTCTTCTTGAGTATACACTTGAGCACAAGTCTAGCCTTGTTTCTCACTATATTACCACTTTCATCAAGCTTATTTCTAAATACCCATCTAGTACCTACAATAGTTTTATTACTAGGCCTGTCAACTAATGTCCATACTTTACTTCTCTCAAATTGATTTAATTCTTCTTGCATAGCCATAATCCAATGTTCATCTTTTAATGCTTCTTTGATGTTCTTAGGCTCTGATGCATGAAATAAATGCAACATAATTACAAATATTTCTAAGAGAAGATCGAGTAGTTACCCCTTTGGATGGACCTATATTTCACCATCCTTGACATAGTTGTACTCTCTTGGATAAGATACTTCCCTTTCTTCAATGGTTGATTCTCAAGAGGATCATGTGTTCCTCTTTTTCGTTTCTTCCTTTGATGATGGTTCTCCAACATCATGTCTAACGTCATTTGTATTTATAACGCCTACATCATCATTCACACAAGAATCCGTCCTCGAAAGGGGATTATCATCGAAAACAACATGTATAGACTCTTCTACAACTAAAGTTCTTTTATTAATACACGATAAGCTTTAGAATTTAAGGAATAACCCAGAAAAATTCCTTCATCACTTTTAGCATCAAATTTGCCAAGGTTTTCTTTACCGTTGTTTAAAACAAAACATTACATCCAAAGGATAAAATACTAATGTTAGGCTTTTTATATTTGAAAATTTCATATGGAGTTTTTCTTTAAAATTGGCCTAATCATTACTCGATTTACAACATAACAAGCGATATTTGGCTTCCGCCCAAAAATATTTGGCAAATTATTTTCACAAAGCATGGTTCTAGCCATTTCTTCTAAAGTTCGATTTTTCCTCTCAACACTCCATTTTGTTGAGGGGTTTCTAGGTGCTGAAAAATTATGGCTAATACTGTTAGAGTTACAAAATTCAGTAAATCCAAGATTTTCAAATTCAGTTCCATGACTCCTAACACTAGTTATAGAGTAACCTTTTCATTTTGGATAATTTTTGAAAATGTGATGAAATGTTCTAATGCTTCATCTTTGTACTTAAGAATGAACCCAAGTATATCTATAGTCATATACCAAGACAAATGCATATTGTTTTCCACCCAAGCTAGTAGTTCTAGTTGGCCCAAAAAGATATAAATGGATCAATTGTAAAACTCTACTAGTTGATACATCATTAATGGATTTAAAAGAAACTCGCTTTTTGTTTTCCTTTAGCACAAGCATCAAGATTTTATCATTATCAATTTTAGTTTAGGCAGCCCCCTCGAACCAATTCTCCTTGAACTAACCGTTGCAAAACACTCATACTAGCATGTCCTAGTCTCCTATGCCATAACCAACTATCATGCTCATCCTTAGCAACTAGGCATAAATTAGTCATATCAAAAGAATCTAAATGCACCATGTATATGTTTCCTATTCTATGACCAACAAGCATAATCCGATTAGATGCAATGTCAATGACTTTACAACCATTAATTTTCAAATAAGACATTGAATCCTTTATCGCATAATTGACTAATACTCAATAGATTATGCTTTAATCCATTCACATAAAACATTTTTAATTTGTATGGAAGATGTATTACCTATTGTACCAATACCTTCAATGTGACCTTTTGAATTGTCTCCAAAAGTCACTTCTCCTCCATTTTTAGCGTTAAGCTCAATGAACCGGCTTTTGTCTCCGTCATGTGTCTGAGCATCCACTATCAAGGTACCATGAATTTGAATTTGTTTCCCGTGCCTTGTAGCAATGCTCCTTTCCCTACAAACATAGATTATTTTGATTTTTGGTACCCAAATTCTTTTGGGTCCATATTCATTAGTTTCCAAAATCCTAGTCCCCTTAGGTATCCATTTGTGTAGGATATTTTTATCTTTAGTAGTAATGAGTTCTTTAGGAACCCACATACTTCTAACGATTTTTCCATTAGAGGTTCTTTGGAGACCTCTATGATTGTAGTTTCTAAAACTTTTTCTAACAAAGTTGGATTTTGAATTTCCACCTTTTTCAAAATGTTTTGTTCCAACTTTATCAAAAGAAGTTTTAAGATCATCAATTTTCTTTTGATGATCATCATTGATCTTTGAAAGTAAATTTTGCAAATCTAAATTTTTCTTTTCAAACTCTTCTAGTTTGATTTGCAAATCTTTGATTTTACTTTCAAGATCATTGTTGGTTTTGGATATGAGTTTGTTTTCAATTTTCAATTTTAAAACATCATTTTTATATTTTAAAAATAATTTCTCATAATCCGAAGCTAACCCATTATATTCCTCTAATAACTCATCATAGGATAAATCATCAAAATCGGATGAGTTAGAGGTTACCTTAGAATCTTCCCCGAATGCCATCAAGAACAAGTTAACTACTTCTTGTTCCTCTTCATCGGAACTTTCTTCATCGCTCCGTGTAGCCACATGAGCCCTGTGCTTATTCTTTGATTGACCCTTTTTCTTCAATTGTGGGCAATCATATTTGACATGCTCTGGCTTTTTGCATTCGTAGCAAATGATTGGGTCCTTCTCTTTCGGTTCATTTTTGAGGCCTTCATTTCGTTTGAATTTTCTTCCTCGATATGGTGTCATCATTTTTCTGAACCGTTTGGCAAATAATGTCATTTCCTCGTCATCGTCATCGTCATTCGAATCACTCTCATCTTTTGTGGATTTGAGAGTAACTCCAATGTTTTTATTCTTCTCCTTCTCCTTTAGTGTCTCGTCAATCTTGTCGAGGTCCACCTCATCTTCGAGCATCATTTCATGAGTGAGGAGTGACCCAATTAGCTCTTCAAGAGTTAAGGACATTAAGTCCTTAGACTCGATGATTGTCGTCTTCTTTGATTGCCACAATTTTGGGAGGGAGTAGACTAACTTCCTCACAAGCTTTTCATTTGAAATGATCTCTGCATATGATTTGAGACCATTGACAATCGTTGAAAATCTATTCGTCATAGCTTTGATATCTTCATTTGGTTTCGTCCTGAAATTCTCATAGCTATGCGTTAGAATACTAATTTTAGATTTCTTTACCTCATCGGTACCTTCATGAGTGACTTGAAGTTTGTCCCATATTTCTTTGGCAGTTGTACACGATGAAACTCTTCCGTATTCATCTGGTCCAATAGCACAAAAAATGATATGGATGGCTTTGGAGTTGAGCTGGAACATTCTTGTCTCTCCTTCACTCCACAACCTTGGATGAGTGAGAGGTTTGATGTATCATTCTTCTACGGCATTTCATGCTCCCATGTCACTTGCTTGAATGAAGTACATCATTCTATTCTTCCAATAGGCATAGTTAGCTCCATTGAAGAAAGGAGGCTTGTTGATAGGCATCGAATCGAGACCAGAGTCGAAGTTTGAAGCGGAGGCCATTGATGACTTTGATTATCGATATAACTCTTCCCGAATCGACTCAAGAGGTGATTAAACCTTCAAATGAGTTAGGCTCTGATGCCAATTATTGAGTTAATCGATTGACTGAATCGGCCAAGAGGGGTGTGAATTGGCAATAAAAATTTTGGTGGAAGCTTTTGCAGAAAATTTAAAGAAATTGCACAGCGATTTAGAGTGGTTCGACTTTATCAACCAAAGTCTACGTCCACTACCTTAGCTATCCACACTAAGGATTTTCCAAAAAATTCACTAATTTGTTCTTTCTTTTGAGGCCAAAGAGATAACCTTACAACTCCCTCAAGAATATACCCCAATTCTTGAGAACACTCTTTTCTCAAAGAGAAATACAAATTTGCAAACTTACAAGAAAAACCTCACAAGGAAAATATGTTTGCACAATTCTAGAACAAAGAAAGAACACTCAAGAATAAATACAATTGAGCACAATAAGTGTTCTTGAAAGAAAAATGAATATTGAATGAAAAATAGGCTTGAAATGCTCAAACTTGAGGTTTGATGCTTTCTCTTTGATTCTCTCTTGATTCTAATTGCTTGATGTTTCTTGTTATTGATCAATGGCTTCTAAGCTTGCTTAAATACACCTTGAATCACTTCTGAACGTTGGGGATGATTAGAAAATATAGCCGTTTTAGTGTGAAAATAATTAATAAAACAGTTTGGAGCGTGGGGGGAATCGGTACCCCCTATGGGGAATCGGTTCCCTAAGTGTAAAATTCAAATATTTCGACCGTTATACAATGGGGAATCGGTACCCCATGGGGGGGAATCGGTTCCCTCCGAGAATTCTGGATTTCTCGGAGCCAAACCATTCAGGGGGGAATCGGTACCCCCTTGGGGGGAATCGGTTCCCTCTGAGCAATCTGGAATTTTTGCCTTTGAAATGGTTTGAAATACTTTGTAAAATTATTTTGAAATTGTTTTAAGATTAAAACTTAATTTTACACTTGAGTAAGGATTAAAAATGATCTTTGAAAGATTTGGAGTAATGTTTTGATATTCGAATAATTCTATCGAATATACTTAGAAAATCATTTGGAAAATCTTAAAATTCATTTAACTTAATTTGTTATATCGAAATATCAAAATGTTTTCAACATAAAGTGCACCAGGAAAGAATCAAACATTTCAAACTCTAGTGCTCTAATTCGAGTTTTTGAATCTCACATCTTATTGATGTGATCACGTATGCCTTTCACAATAGTGAGCCTAATGGACGTGAACCTCATGATTAGGATGCTGGCAAAATATTTTTTTAGAATTTTTGAACTACTTTTCAATAACCGTTAATAGTTCTTGTAAATTCTCATAATGCTCAATTAAGCCACGAACATCAGCAGAAACCTTACTCTTAATGAACATAATGTTGAGGCGATTAAATCACTCCCACTTTTCATATGTAGCAAGACCAACTTGAATGTTGGTTTCAATGATATGTGGCTCAGTTTTTCTTTTACCATAATCAATATCTAGACACCCCAATTGAAGAATAATTCTCTTCTTTCAGAACTTAAAGTTCTCACTGGTTAATTCAAGTGTATCTACTCAATTACCAAACATATTCACATGTTTTAAAATTGCAAGAAACAATGAACATGCATGCTTAATAAATATTTGAGGCAAACATAAAATATAATTTACCAATGCAAATTATGTAAACAATGAATCTAATGACATAAAAATTGCATGTGGGCTAAATTTTTGATTCGATTAGATCCATCTTATGATAGAATTTACTTTCTATTCCTTTAATAAAATTATTAAATTCACTTACATAATTCCAATGGGTAACTATGTAAAGACATCTAATAATTTTACCTTAGTAAATTGTGTAATAGGATTTAATACCTAAGCTTTATATATGTGATTTTTGACTTTAGTAATTTTATTTAACTAAAGATTATGTAGCTAATCTTTAACTAAATAAAATTATGAAAATCACTTAGCTAGATATTAACTCTAAATTTCATTTAAAAATTGTTCCTAATTCATTATGCAACATTTTATGTTTATAGTCTTTAATGAGATCATTATTGTAATAAATAATTTTATTTAACTAAAGTTGTTGTTGCCAATTCTCTAATTAAATAAAATTATTTTGATCTCTAGACATTTAACCTAAAGTTTTAGTACTAAATACTTTATGCGCCTAAAATGTATGTAATTAATAAGCATATAATTGACATACATTCAATCATAATTTAAGCACATAAAAATCATACAATATTTCTAAAATTTTATATAATTATTTTAAACATAATTTATTTTAGAAATATCTCCTTAATAGAATCCAACGATTTCAAAAACAAGTTTGCAATGAAATATTTCTCAAACTCAAAAACAAATATCATGGCATAAAAAATTCGAGAAACATACAAACTTTTTAAAACAGACAAGACAACGATTTAACCATGATAATGATACCAAATGTAAACATGGTTCGAGCATAAAAGCAGTGGAAAAGATCCTTTATAAATACCTCTAGCCATTGTCTACATAGTATGTCGAAACCTATGATGTGGTTGCACCATCATCAAATACGTCAAATCATCGTTGACACCGTGAACCACCATCGACCATCGTGAACAACTATCGAACACTTTGAATTTGGCTAAAAAAATAGAACTGCCAAGGATTTTCTAAGTACTCTAAAGCTCACTTAAATGGAATAAATTTTCAAATGTTCTCAAAAGAAAATGCATTGGAATTAATTGGTGCTTAAGGACCTTGGCTAGATGAGCATTTATAAGTGTGGTTACCCATCAAAAACCACCCCAAACCATCCATTAACTGCTCCACTATCACATGAAATATGAAAGTGGGATGGCAAATATGGGAATAACTCCCATAAACTGTAAACCCATGAACAAACATATAGTAAAAATGTGCAGTTTCAACAAACCATTGACAACGCATACAACACCTTTGCGGTAATATATTTTGTATGTCAAATTTTTAATCATGTGACATTGTGTAGATATATCCTATTTCTAAGTTTTGTTCTTTTACCCATAAGCTAGTTCCTTACTTTTTTCATATATCATATAATTTCTCCTAGGCATGAGGTCAGTTCTATTCATGTTTTAATAAACAGTTTTAATCTTCATTGTTTTAATTGAATCATATAAATCACACATTTATTGTCCATGGTATTAATGTTGGTACCAAGGATTTAAATTATGGTTGTGATTGTGTTACATTTATCACGGTTGCGGAAATAACGGATGCTATAACATCCATTGCAGACATCACAATCATGAATTTTTTTAAAGGAATTATTTTTTTAAAAAAGAGCTGATTTAAATATATATATATATATAAGAATAACAGAACAATAGCAGAAATAACAACTCGTTATTGTCGTAATTGACCGTTACTCATTAAATTACAACTACAATTCATCGTTATTGATGTGATTTCGCTTCAAAACGCTTTTTTTCACAATATGATTCAGACGTCGTCGCTATCACTATATAGTGGCTACCATTTCACTACCTCGCCACTATTTGAATCCGTGGTTGGTATTCCTTTACTGTCAGATAGTGAAATTAATTACAAGTTGTTATAACATAACCTCTGATGCTGCAATCTTCATTCATGTTCATTAAGCAAAATGTTTTTTCCTTTTGGTTTTATTTCATTACTGTTGCTTTTCTTCTTGGTTATAAATGGTTGTGTTTTATGCAGTAGGGTGCAGTTCCCCAAATTCTGCAAAGGATGAATTCTTTTCGAAATTGATAGGAACACTAAAAAGTAGTGTTTTGAAAATCAGATTGGATCGGCCGGTTTAATCAGTTCAACCGAGAATCGCTGTCTAGTCTGGTTCAATCTACACCGGTTGAACCGATCGAAACCGCTGAACTGTTCGAATCGGACCGGCTGAAAACCGAAAAAAAACCGTCAATTTTGTTTTTCTTAAAAAAATTAAACCAAATAACGTCGTTTGTTAAACGAGCCAAGTCGAACTCGAGTATTGTTGAGCTCAACTCGAACTTGAAAACTTTAAAAGTAAGCTCAACTCGACTCAAACTCACGAGCTAAAAATTATCAAGTTCAACTCGAACTCGAAATATAATATTAAAACTTGAACTCGAAAAGGCTTGAACTCAAAAAAAATTTAGAAGCTCAATTGAAGCCTAAAATTCAAGCTTGATTGAGGTGAAAGAATAGTTCACTCAATGCTCACCAAAAGGCTTCATGATTTTGAATATCAAATTACCTCTATTATCTATAGAAGTTAGTTGGGATGCTCTTCTATGTTTCTTAGCCATGTGAGATTATTTAAAAAAATTATACCAAACAATATCATTTTTGTTATTATTTTTTAGCCCCAAATTTATTTTTTAATTATAGTTATATAATTATATTTATTATTTAATATGTTTTACCTTAAATATTATGTTGTAGTTAATTTGAATCATTTTGTTTCACTTGATTTTATGGTTTTTAACTTATATATGTTATGACTTGCTTTGAATATGACTTGTGATATAAAAATTTATTTTTTATTAAATATTTTTTGTATTTTTATTTAATTTTTTAAATAATTATGACGTCGTCCGGTTCTTCCGACCGATTCGACCGATTAAATTAATAAACCGATAACATGACCGATTCGCTAACCGATCTAGTTCTGAAAACCATGCTAAAAAGAGGCTGTCGATAAATGCTTTGATGGGATTACGGAGGTATCTATAACGAGTCTTTTTATAAATAAATAAAATATATAGTTCGACTTCTAGGTATGGACTTTATTGGTTATAAAATTTAATATGTTTTAAAGATACGATGAGAATTATATGAATGAATGAAATGTATGGCTTTCTCCTCTCAGTCGTTTTTGCTCCTCTCTTTGCTTCCTCTGTTCTACTTTATTTCTGCTATATTTCTTCATCCTTCATATTTTTGTCTTTTACAAAGGTATCAAGAGCCGGGATTGTCTCAGGAAAGGCGGGTTAATATACGGTTAATATACGGCGTTACTGGATACATTAAAAGATATTTAACAAATTCGGTTTAGCGCTACCGGAAATGTTGACTAATAATAATGTAGTAGGTCTAAGTCATGTAGAAATATTAAAAAATTGTGCGACCGGCAAACTTAACTTGTCGGTTCGTGTCGATCCAAATTAAAAATGTGTCGATCTAAAACGTTATAACAGGTAAAACTATGACAAAATCGGTATTGAAATGATAAAACTGGTAAAGCGCTACCGGATACATTTAAAGTGTCAGTACTTTAATATAAGGATCGACACTTCGTGAATTTAAAAGAGAAGCAGTTTTAAATCCTATAAAGTGTCGATACTTTTAAAAAATGTATCGATCTAAAACGATATACGAGGTAAAAATATGATAAAACCGGTATCAAAATGATAAAACCGGTAAAACGTTACAGGATATATTGAAAGTGTCGATACTTTATATAAGGATCGACACTTTGTGATTTTAAAAGAGAAGCAGTTTTAGCGCCTATAATGTGTCGATACTTTAAAAAAATATCGATCCACAACGATATAACAGGTAAAAATATGATAAAACCGGTATCAAAATGATTAAACCGGTAAAAAGATACCGGATATATTGAAAGTGTCGATACTTTCGTAAGTGCGTGTAATAAATTATCGACACTTTCAAAGAAATAGGTAATTATCCTTTCGAAAGTATCGACACCTGACATAAAAGTATCGACACTTTTGTATTTGTATCGATTAAATATAAATAACATATCCGATGAAAATATAAAGGCCATATCTAATATCCTCTGAAAATCGAAAGAACGGACGAGTTTTTGAAATCGAAGCGTAATTGTTGCTGCATTTCAGAAGGCGTTTCTAAAACGATGTTTGTTTGTTTGTTGATGCAGTCGAATCGAAAAGTATGTTGTCGAAACCCTAATTTTTTATTATTACAGTAATCGCGAATAGGGTTTTTATGTGTTGTTTGGGGTTTTGGAGTAAAGAAGCATTTGGGACCGATTGCAGGTAGAAAGTGATATTGAAGGTAAAATATAAATGTCGATACTTTTATTAAATATTATAGGTAGAAAATGATATTATAGGTTGTATAAATGTGCCGACACATTTTGTAGTGGACATTCAAATTCTTTTGAAGAAAATCGTTTTACCACAAGAGTAGTTATCTATATTTGTATATTGAATAAAGTGTATGTAACAAAATAATTTGATTTGCGTAAACTGATATATGAAGGA